GAAAATCAGTCTAAAAGGAGGAACAGTTGATCTAGAATCTTTGGCCATATAAATCATATAACATAGCTGGTTGAGAACCGGTGGGATAAATATCCCAGTAAGTACCAGACCATTTTTCTTAAGCTTACGGTAATACTGTTACAACTGACTTTCGCTGCGTAATGTTAAATCAGATTACAATTTCTTAAATTTAGAGTCAGGTCACTTGAGCGCTACAATGCCATTACTGTTATCAGGTCTTAGGATCATGATGTCTTTGTTCTTTTTGAGTTTTCTTCACTATTTTAAGTTTTTCCAAGTCATGCATTTAGTGAAGTGGTTGACACATGCTGGATTTCACTTCTACTTCATTCGCTTCGCTCTTCTCTGCGAGATGTCTCTTAAGATCTTGGTGAAGAAGTTCAAATGTTGTGAAAATGTGACTTTTATTTAGATGCAATGGTTTAGTGGAAAAAGTACGACCAAATTTCAAAATGTCAAGTTCTTCTTCAGGCAATTTGTAAGACAAAATGTTGACAACTGCATCTTTGTAAGTGAAAGGAACAGAAGAATTTCTTGTGAGGCTCTTAAGCTTCTTTTCATGTGCCTTGACAAATTTGCTGACTTTTCGATCAACATTGTTTTGCACGAATTTCTTGAGAATGAATAGGTCATGCTGTTCAAAACCTTATCAAAGTGAACACAATTCAAGCGTTAGATACATGTACCTCTGGGCGCAATTCGATCTGGATGCCCTGATCTGACCCATGTGTGCTCCTTTATGTACAGTGAGATATTGATCATAGCTGTCCGGTCAGCCTTTCAATTGATTTTATTGATCATAGACCTAACAGTTAATTTTTGTGAGTTACACCTGTTTGCTTATTCGCAGAAAATGCACTTTAGAGGTTTGTTTTTAACCACTCATTGTCATCTTCTGCACGACCGAAACCCGTCACTTCAATGTTTAAAGCCTGTTATTTGCTGTCAAATTTAATTTAAACCTAAGCGAGTTGCATGAACTGAGGGCTCAGACACTTAAGATAAATAAATTGTCTTGAATCTGTCTGAAACAATTAAAATCAATAGCACCAAACGCTGTCAATTTGTCGCCAGTTTTGTACCTGTCTTTTAAAGCCAAAATTGATTAACCCACAAGTTGCCTGAACCATATCTATCTACCTATCTTCACAGGAATCTTACATTAAGAACGCAAAGAATGGTTACACAGGAATGTCTTACACAGGAATGTTTCAAACTCTCCTATTACCTCGTGTGCATGTGACTAAGTCACGCAGACACGAGGCAAAAAAGGAGAGAGATTTCCAACAATGTTATGACGTAAACTAGTCCAAAATACATTATAATAATCACAATAATTCATTTTACACTTAATCAGGGACTCCTAAATCGACCAACTAATCTGCCTTTAACCAACCGTTTTTAAATTCGTGATTAACTAACCCACGATTAGGACATTTAATCAATGATTAGGCTTAATCGGCGATTAGTTTAATTGCGGTTTTGAACAACTGTTAAGTTCAAAAACAGTGTTATCCTCTCAAGTCCTCAATATTCTTAACAGAAAGAATCCCAGCCATTACCACATGTAGTACTCACAGCTGCCATGCAGAGTTTCTTACTCCCGTAAAATTACCTTCTTAATAGTTTCATCTGATGTCCACCATTGGCCTCTCAGTACTCTAGGCCTGTCACTTTATGTTTATGTGCTTCATGTTTTACCTGATAAGTAATACAGATACTTTAGCAAGCAACGTACTGTCTCATTTTTAAAGTAGAAGATGCAAGTTGAACATGATTCCCACAATGTTCAAACAATTAATCAATCAATTAATCAATTGTGTATATTTATATATTTAATACAGACCAATGAAAAGTGTTCATTAAAATAAGGGGTAGTCCATTATTCAGATTATT